CGGTCTCTGTGGTGGGTTTTTGTTTGCTGATTTGTTTTTGAGCCATACCGACTTTGCTCAGGTATTACTCTGGCCTCTGCACTCAGGCATCACTTCGGATCGTGCTTATGGGGGACCATATAGGATGCTGGGGATCGAGTCTAGTTCAGCTGCATGCAAAGAAAGCACCTTACCCGCAGTACTCTGTGCTGGGTGTTAAATGTGGACCGTCTTGAACTTTCTGCCGCCGGCGTTGGGTTTCCCTGGCCAGGTAGGGCGGGTGTGTGCCGACTGTGGTGCCACCTCACTGGTTGCCAGAATCCCAGAATGTTCGAGAACATGGAGGCTCTGCCTGACTGCTGGATCCTTTCTGGGAGTGCTGTTAATACTTCCTCCATCACTTGTGAAAAGCTCTTTTTTTTTTTCTCCCCAGCAGAGGCCAGTCCCTGAAGTGCTTGTGGGCATGGGGTCCTGGGGGAGCCCGCTCATGGCCTCCCTCAACACCTGACACGTGCATCTCTGCCCGGCCCCAAATTGTCTTTTATTTCTGTAATTTAAATTTTTTTTTTTGGCTTTTGGGGTCCTACTGGCGATACTCAGGGATTCCGCCTGGCTCTGCACTCAGGAATTACTCAAGCAGTGTTTGGATTACGGGCACCGTGTCTGCCTTCCAGACACGGAGCTGGAGTGGGGAGTCATTTCCTTGGCCCCAAGGGTCGTCAGTAGCTTTACTGGGTTGACTGTTGGTGGGTCTGTTCGGGCAAGTGTGTGTCACGCTTATGTAAATGGCCCACAAAATTTCTGACCTGCTGGGCAAGCCTGTACAGTACCGGTCTGTGTCGGCATGGTGGACCTTCTTGGGCACTGGCAGTCCCTCCACGTTGATGGCTCTTCGGCCAGATGGTCTTGGCATCTCCCGTTGTTCATGGATGGGCCCATTCCCTGCAGCCATGCATAGCAAGCAGCCTCACCTCCTGGCTTCCTCTTGCTGTGGGCACCGTCCTTACTCTGGGTTCCTGGGATTTTTTTTCCTGAGCTGGTGGAGATGCCTTCAGGGCTGTGAGGCAGTGCCCAGGGTCCTGGGTGCTCCCCTTCGGCAGGTGAGCTCTGCCCGTAGCACTGACCTCCCAAGAGAGAGCCTCCCTCAGAGCACAGTCTCAGTGCTGCTTCCCCGAGCTTACAACCCAGTTCTTTCAGAGGAATTTGGAAGAATCTGCTTCGTTCTTTCTTGTTTCATCACTCTGCCTTTTCTTGGTCTTCAGCTCTGTTGAAATGGAATTGACGTGGGATTTGCTCCTGGCTCTGCGCTTGGGGATCACTCCTGGCGGGGCTCGGGGGACCACATGGGATGTCGGGGATCACACACACGGTTTAAATCATCCAATTTTTGTCTTTCTCTTTCTTACCTATTTCACTCCCTTTGATTCCCCTGAGCTCTTTCCTGCAGATGGCAAATTTCTTGTTTTCTTTGAAAGTGAGTAAGTAGTAGCCCCATGTTTATAAATCCGTGTCAGACTTGTGTAAATAACACCTCAGTGAGCAGGGCCCTGGGCAGCCAGGGAGACCCTCGGAGTTCATGTTTGTGAGTTCTCAGGGTGCATCCTTGACTGGGTGCTGGACCTGATGATTGCTCAGCCTTAGGCTTCTTGGGGAAGCGCCGTGGCATTTTCCAGAGGGCCTGCCCCTGTGCGTGAGATCTCTCCGCACCTGCGCTATTGCTTAGTGGCACGGCCTGGGCCACAGGTGGAGACGCTGGAGTGATGGCTTCCCTCCCCACGCGGGGCGCGCCTGGCTTCACACTAGCTCTGCCCAGGCCTACAGGGGCTCCAGCTGACACTCTGGGTGGGTGCTGAGAGGGTCAGAAGCAGCTTCTCTCCTTCTGCCGTTTCGATCTGACCCACCAAAGGAATGTAGAAAAGCAGTGTGGTACCTTGCACATTTTTGAGTTGAAACCCCAGTGGGGGAATGGTGTCGTCCTGGACGCTGCAGGCCGATTCGGGGAAGGTGTCACCCTGCCTGGGACAGGCTGTTTGGGGAAGGTGTCACCCCGGGAGAGGCCTATTAGGGGAAGGCGTAATCCTGAACGCAGCAGGCGTTTGCATCTGGAGTCTTGTCACCTCTGGAGGAAGCTCAGCTGAGCCTGACTGAGGCCTCCCACCTGCCCCCTGAGCTGCTCGCCCGTTTCCGGAGCTGAGAAGCTGCCTGAGCCGGTGGTGGTCGTGTTCTTGACTTGAAGATTGTTTGCCATGCATGCCCTGCCATGGGGTGCGACCTTTAACAGGCGACTTTTCTGCAGATGGGTGCCGTGGGCAGTACTGTCCCCCTTCATTCCGCTCTGTTTCCTGTGTCTGTAGACCTGTGTTGGAAGCCTGGACCACCTCTATCAGAAGGCATCAAAGACACTTTGTTTCTGGACTGGTGATAGGGCCCAGCAGCAGCGCACATGCCTAAGGCCTGGGTTCCAGCCAGTACTGCAAAAAAGAAGAGTAAAGGCACTTTATAACAATGTGCTCAGTTTGAAACATTTTCTTCCAAGTCATGTATCAAGTCCCAGGCTGTTAGGCTCAGTATTCCGAGGAAAGCCCGACCTACAGGCCCTTTCATTGTCTCTTCCCAGGGTCACCTGTAGAGAACTTGGTTAGACCAAAGCCTGGTGACAGGAAGTGGCATGGTACCACGGCATGGCCTGAGATGACCTCAGGGAAGCACTGTCCACGGGAGAGACTTCCCAGTGACCCCTGCACTCCTGGCCCCTGCAGGAGTCCCTGTGTGGTGAACACCCAGAACCCTTGAACTCTCCTCTCCCAGAGAGACCCTCTTGGTCTCTTTCCCGTTGTGATTCAGCTGTCCAGGGTGCCGTGGGCTGAGTGCCTGTCGCTTGCCCACCAGAGTTGTGAGTTGACTGGGCGGGCAGGGATGGGAGTATGTGGTTGGTGTGGGTGGCCGCCTCAGGGACAGCAGCCCGGGAGGCAAAGTCCCTGCCGGGAGCAGCTGACGGTCCCTCCCCGAAGCGCGCCTTTGTGGGCCAGCAGCGCCGCCTCACACCATCAGGCCGCCAGAGAGCCTGTCTGTCTACGTTGCCTTTTTGCCTGCAGAAACCCCGATGCCATGTGGGCGTCAGCGCATAGCACGTGCGTGGGGAGAGGTGTGTGTCCACGAGCCGCTGGGAGGGGACAATAGCCTGCTCGAAAGGCAGACGGGAGCCCGGGCCTGTTGCCGTCCTGGCCGAGCGTCCCTGAGTGGGGACGGGCTGTTCCTGTGCTGGCCACGCTGCGTGTGAGTCTGACTCCCCAGGGCAGGTCCGGTCGCGTCCCTCCGGGCCGGGCTGCGGTGGGGCCAGCCTTGAGTCCTTAGTGAGGAGCCTCTGCAGGCCTGGGCCGAGCCCTGTGCCGCGTGTTGGGGAGGGAGCAGCTGTGGGTGGGTGCTGCGTGCCCGCAGAGCAGCTGAGCTCCGGAGACCAGGGCACCTGTGCTCACCGACGGTCTTGTAAGACTTCGTCCCCTTTAGCTGATTTCTAAAGTTAGCTCTAGAAATTCTTTTCCTGCTAAGAAATGTTCATGCGTTCCCTCTTTTCTTTGTTGCTTCTGTCCTCGTGACTTGGGGTGGGAGTCATGTTTGGTGTGATGCTCACTGGGGTCACAGACCCCTAGTGTCAGCACTTGTGGTGCATACCCTCGTCCCTGTGGTGCTCGTGTGTGCAGGTCAGGGACGCTGTGTGGCCGGCTGCCCAGGGCTGGTCCGGTAGCGTCCCTCCGGACCGGGCTGCGTTGGGGCCAGTCTTGAGGCCTTAGTGAGGAGCCTCTGCAGGCCTGGGCCAAGCCCTGTGCCGCGTGTCGGGGAGGGGGCAGCCTCCGGGACAGCCTTTTGAGCAGCCAGTCGCTGTGGGCTCTCTCAACAAACTGCTGCTTCTGCTGGACTGCTTGCACTTTCATTTGGTGAATTTTTGGGGGGTGTGGGTCATACCTAGCGGTGCTCTGGGATGACCAGCTCTGTACTAGGGGTGACTTTTGGCTGACGGGGGACCAGGCTGTGCCTGGGATCGAACTGGGGTCAGCCGCACGGAGGGAAGCACCTGAGCCCCGCACTGTCTTGTGGGCACATGTGGAATTTTTGGTTGTGCTAGGCCCAGACTGGATGCGAGCGGGTGGCTCTGGGCTGAGTACTCCCCCGGAGCAGGGCCATAGCTTTGCCCTGGGCCTCCCTGGGCCTCCCGAGCTGCCTGAAGTTCTGTTGTTGACAAGGAGGAACACTGTGTGGTGCTTTGTACTTTCCTTCGGTTTCTTTCCACTGGTTTATCTCTCTGTCCTTGTGGGGCAGCTGGTGAATCTCCTTTTGCCTCAGCAGGGAGGACAGAGGGAAGTGGAGCTCCCTGGCCGATGTGTGGGTTTGGACGAGCTTTTCTCACGATTGCTCTGTGTACCCTGTAGGCAGGAAGCCAAGAGGGCCTGAGAGATGCACGTTAGTGACTAGTGCTCCTCCCAGTGGTCCTGTCTCCTGGGTTGGTCACCACGCAGGACCAGCTCCGTGAGAGGGAGCCCTCCTGCCTACAGGGATGGCACTTACAGGAGATGGGGTGTGGGGCTGGGTGGGGTGTAATCGGGGCCTGCTTGCATGAGGCCCTGGCTTCCATCCTTGGCTTCGGAAAACACACAAAAACACCTTGAAATTTGCTTGGGGTCAGGGAGGAGATGCACAGAGGCCTGGCGTGAGCAGGAACCCTGGATTCTTCCTCGCACCTCACGGTTCCCTGAGCACTGCCACCCTCACGGTTCCCCAGCACCCTCTGCCCCCGGGAAAGGCGTTGCCCAGCAAATCATCCTTTGAAGACATTTTCTCCATAGACACTTTTGTGGGTAGTTGGAGGCGGTGAGCTTGGTTCAGCAGAGGCGGGGCCGGCCCGAGGGAGCAGGGAGAGGTGTGCCCGCCCGGCTTGGCCAGGCACAACTGTCATTTCTCTGTCCATGATTGCAAATGTTCCTGTCCTGCTTGAAAGCTAAACTCTGAGTTTTTCCGTGTTTTAGATTGAATAGGATTGCGAATCAGGTGGCAGTCCAGCGGAAGAAGCAGTTTGTTGAGAGAGCCCACAGCTACTGGCTGCTCAAAAGGCTGTCTCGGAACGGCGCGCCCCTGCTGCGGCGGCTCCAGTCCAGCCTGCAGTCCCAGAGAAGCACGCAGCAGGTAGGTGCCCGCCCCGCTCCCCGGGACGTAGGTGAGCCCCGGGCCGAGTTGGTCGCTGCTCTTCCCCCTCGGCCCTTGGCCCGCCGCGGGTCTCCTGGCATAGGAGCTCGAGCAGCCCCCACCCCCCGTCGCAGCGGGCACTGCTGGCGTCCACAGGTGGACGAGTGCTGGTGCAGGTGACGCACGCCTGGCTACTGGTCTCGGGTCTCTGCAGGTTCACGTGAGGGACAGAGGTGATCAGAGAGGTGCTCCCAGACGGCGGGGGCTGGCGCTGCTCGGGTGGGCTCAGCCCCAGGGCGGTGCAGGCGTGGATTACTGGCTGGGCCTTGCTCGGAAGGAGGCTGGTGCCCTGGAGGCAGGGTGAGCAAGAGGATGGGCACTTGGCTTCTGCATCCAGAGGTGGACACAGAACTGCCCGGGAGTGAGAAGCAGCTCAGAGCCCAGCGGGCAGAGTCGCCCCGAGACGTGTGTAGGGCGCGGAGGCTGCTCCCTTGCCTCCCTCCTTGGGCTGAGGGCCGAGGGCCCAGCCCTGCACCTCTCGCTGCCTTCTTTCTGTTTCTGGGCCACAACCGCTGGTGCTCGGGCTACTCCTGGCTCTGCACTCAGGGACCACTCCTGGTGGTGCTCAGGGAACTGTATAAGGTGCTGGGAATCGATCCCTGGCCACCTGCGTGTAAAGCAAATGCCCTACACACTGTGCTGTTGCTCTCGCCCCTCTCTGCTGTCTTTTGAGTGACGGGACTGAGGTGCCAGTCAGGGAGTGAGTCCTGGGGCGGGGGGCTGGCAGGTGCTCCCTGGGGTCAGAGGCCTGACTGCATTGAGCAGCTTGCTGGCTTGCTGGGCCTCTAGTGTGGAACGTTCCAGGCCTCAGGGCCTGCCTGTCTTGTGGCTCCGTCCCTATGTCCTGGCAGTGGCACAGCCCCTTCAGTGGGGAACGCTTGGCGGCAGGTCTGGGCTGGAGGCGGCCTTCAGCCCCACTGCCCTCGTCCTGGTTGTGTGTTGAGACGCTGCTTCTGTCTCTGCTCTCCTTCCTTCTCTGGTCCTTGGGAACGTCTTTGGGACTTTTCTGACTCTTGCGACAAAGTGCCATCACGCTTCGAGGCAGTGTTTCGTAACAATCGTGGCTTTTCATTTTTTTCACTAGGCTTTTTGAAATCAATCAGAGAAATTAAGAATCTGGGTCTTGGAGGGATGCGGTTTCTTTGTTGGGGGAGGGTGGGCAGGGGGAGTCTCCTCGGTGGTGCTAAGGGCCACCAGGGCTGCACTTGGCATGCTTGGAGGCCTTCAGTGCCCAAGCCATACCCAGGGTCTGTGCTCCACCCAGGAGCCTGCTGTGCCCTCCAGGGGCTCTGGGACAGAGCAGGATGCATTGTCGCTTTTGTCTCTGTGTCTGTGTCTGCTGGGGGCGCCTCTGAGCTTCACCTGCAACCTTGCCAGGGATGGGGCACAGTGGGACCGTGACAGGACTGTGAGCAGCTGCCAGCCCCTCTGCTCGGGGCCCTGGCTCTGTGGAGCTGTCCTGGGGATTCTTCTCTTTGGCCTTCCCTCATGAGCATTGTGTTAAGACTGGAGCTCATGAGTCTGTGGGCACTGACTTCGGGTTCGGGACTCGTCCAGGACGTGCTGGGCTCAGCCTGGACCTTGGCCAGTCTGGGAGACTGTCTCCTCCCTGTCTGCAGAGATACACAGGCCAGAGGGGTTTGCGGGTGTCAAGAAATGGGGTGTCAGGGAGATGGGAACCCGAGGGGGTAGGCTGGAGCCTTAGTCCTCAGAGCAGGGAAGAAGGTGCACGCGTGGTGTCCGCCTCCTTCCCTGATTCTTGTTAGGGGGACGGGGATCCAGAAGGGGGTTCTCCGTGGGCCGTGGCAGGCCCGTGAGGGCTGAGGCTGGGCTGAACGGGCTCCACTGTCCTTGGTGCTGTGCTGGGCCTCCTCCGTGGCTGACTGTCCCGATACCCTACGTGTGGCCCGAGCTCCCTCATCCTGTGGAACCTGATGGAGGTGAAGTTCGGGTGGTGCACTGCTCTGTTCCCGGATGTGTGCCAGCTCACTGACTCAGGCGGGTGGGCTGGACGCGGAGAGCTGCCTTGTCCTCATCAGGGCTGCTCTGATGGCGTTGGCCCACGGAGCTCTGCGCGCCCGGGCAGTCCTGTCTCTGCGTCTGCAGGGAAGCGCTCTCTTTCCCGGTGAGCTGTAGCTTCAGCCTCTGTGGGTACGTGAAATTCTCATGGGTGGGGGGTGTTGAATAATGAGCCTCGGTTCAGAACAGGGAAGACCCCTGAGAGCAGACTCGGACTCAGGCTTAGGGGTCGAGGCCCCCAAATACTCAGGGCTGATGAGACTTTTTCAGCCCCACTCAGACTCGACTCTGTTATGACTCTTGTGCATACCGGCTTCTCTAGGGATTTTTTTTTTTAAGGTTTTAAAATTTTTGGTTTGGGGGCCACACCCACCTCTGCTTAGGGATCACTCCTGGTGGTGCTTGGGGGACCATGCGGAGTGCCAGGTATCAAAGGCAAACGCTTTGCCTGCTGTATTGTCTCCTGACTGTGAAATCTTGTTTTCTAACTCCACCACATGGACTGAGTGGCCTTGTTTTTATTGCTGCTGGGTGCTGGTGTCATTGCTGAGAACTTGGTGTCTTGGTGCAGAATGCTGAGAGGGCTGGCTGGGATCTGATTGGGGTCTGGTTAGGGTCTGGTTTGGTTTCGACAAGGATACGGCTTGGGGTCGAGGTTGGGATCTGGTTGGGTTCTGGTTGGGTTCTGGTTGGGTCCTAGTCAGAGTCTGATTGGGTTCTAGTTGGGTTCTGGTCGGGTTCTAGTCAGGGTCTGATTGGAGTCTGGTCAGGTTTTAGTTGGGGTCTGGTTGGGTTCTAGTTAAGGTCTGGTCGTGATCTGGTCGGGGTCTGGCCGGGGTCTAGTCAGGATCAGGTCGGGGTCAGGCCTGGGTCTGGTTGGTTCTAGTCAGGTTCTGGTTGGGGGTTGTTTGGGATCTGGTCAGTCCTAGTCAGGGTCTGGTTGGGTTCTGGTCAGGGTCTGGTTGGGGTTGCCCTCCCCTTGGCTGTGCTTCTCCCCTACTGGGCCTCAAGAGCAGGCTGGGTAGCCCACCCTTCTTGTTTCCTGGGACTCATCCTGGCTGGAGCCCTGCGCTCACCCTCTTGAGGCCATGCTCCCTGGCAGGGGGTGGGGGAGCCTGAGGTCGGCAGAGCGATCCGCCGAGAGGAGCACCAGGCCCTTGAGACGGGGTGTGTCTCTGAAACCTCCCGTGGGCCAGGGCCAGGACCCCCAACGTGGGATGCTGGTCCCCAGGGCCCCTGACTCACCCTTGTTAGAAGCTCAGTGGAGAAAGGCGTGAGCATTGTGGTGCTGTTTCTGGGGAGGCCCAGGCCGGACATAGAAGGTGCTGGAATCCCACTTGGAGAGCAGGAGCACGGGACCGCCTGTTGGCGCCTTACAGGAATTTGCTGGCTTAGCCCAGGTCAGGCTTGGCCACTCTGGGCTGTGACACTGCGAGTCTTTGTAGCACTCGGCTGCCGGGACACATCAGCCTTCTGCCACCCCCTTCTCCTCCCCCCGGTTCTCCGGTTGGTGTCCGTGCGACAGATGTTCTGTGTGACATTTAGTTCCGGAAGCGCTGCAGCAGGGCTGGGTCCGGGTGCATGGGCTTGGCCCCAGTCCCAGCCCCGTGTGCTCATGGCCCAGGGAGAAAGTGCTACGGCTAATGTGTCCCTGGAGACCCTGCGCACTGTGACCCTTCTTGCACTGGGTCAGGGCGTGGCGTGGTGGCTGCCCACACTGTGGGCTCCTGCCAGCCCTTTCTGAGCCTGCGAGGCCCCGTCCCGCCCTGGCTGTCAGCAGGATGGAGCCCGGGCACGGGGCGGTCCCCCGCGGGGGCTGTGGGAGAGCGGGGCTCAGCCTCGGCCCCTCCTGGGCGCTGTCTGAAGGGAACGTGCGACTGTCTCCCCAGAGAGAGGACGACGAGGAGATCCAGGCGGCCAAAGAGAAGCTCAAGTACTGGCAGCGACTGCGGCACGACCTGGAGCGCGCGCGGCTGCTCATCGAGCTGCTGCGCAAACGCGAGAAGCTCAAGCGGGAGCAGGTGAGGCCGCAGCGGGGGACCCCGGGGAGCAGCCCCCGGCCCTCCGTCGCCGCCCTCCTCCGCGCCCGCCTTCCCCAGGGCCCCTGGCCGTGACTGGCGCCCCGGGCCGCAGGCGGGGTCTCTGGAAGGCGGGTAGGCAGGCGAGGGTGTGGGGCCGCACGGCGGGGCCCGTGCTGAGCCGCCTCTGGTGTCCCAGGTCAAGGTCGAGCAGATGGCCCTGGAGCTGCGGCTCACGCCACTCACCGTGCTGCTGCGCTCTGTCCTGGACCAGCTGCAGGACAAGGACCCGGCCCGCATCTTCGCCCAGCCAGTGAGCCTGAAGGAGGTAGGTGTGCCCGCGCCCTCGCTTGCCTCGCCCGCGGGCTCGGGGGCACTGGGGGGTGACCTTGTGTGCTCTTCGCCCCTCGCTTTCACGAGCTTCCTTTACATGGCGGAGGGCACGCGTCACTGCAGACTGCAGTGCGGGGACGTCCCGAGAGGCCCTCTCGGCACTTAGGTGCCCGCGCCTGCCCCGTCGCAGGCGCCCAGCAGACGCACGGGCCAGCACGGGCTCTAGCGAGAGGAACTGGGCTGGGATCAGGGCCCGGGGGCGTGTTGGAGGGTCACGGTGCCCCTGGGGCTGGGGAGAATCACTTGTGGGTCTGTGAAATTCTCATGGGTGGGGGGTGTTGAATACTCGGTTTTTGTTTGTAAATGACTATTTTTCCTCCCGAAATTAGGTGCCAGATTATTTGGATCACATTAAACATCCCATGGACTTTGCCACAATGAGGAAACGGTTAGAAGCTCAAGGGTATAAAAACCTCACTGAGTTTGAGGAGGATTTTGATCTCATTGTAGATAACTGCATGAAGTACAATGCCAAGGACACGGTGTTTTATAGAGCCGCAGTGAGGCTGCGTGATCAGGGAGGCGTGGTCCTGAGGCAGGCCAGGCGCCAGGCGGACAGCATCGGCTTTGAGGAGGCCACGGGGATGCACCTGCCTGAGCGGCCTGCCGCCGCCCCCCGGCGGCCCTTCTCCTGGGAGGACGGTAAGCACTGGGCCTGCGTGCGGGGCCGGCCTGAGCAAGTCAAGGAAGTGGTTTCCGCACTCTTGGACCCAGGGGCCCCAGGGGCCCCAGGTGTCATGACTTCCAGCACCAGGGAGCTGGCGGGAGGGCGGGAACATGCAGTGCCTACTGGGTGACCCTTGCAGCTCCTGATCTGCCAGGGAGGCACTAGAGGCCCCCGGGTCCCTCCTTGTGGGGAGACCCCTGTTCAGAGAGAAGTGACTCGCTGGGCTGAGAGGGCCGGGCTCAAGGTACACAGCCCATTGACCCCTGGGCATCGCTGGGTGTGGCCAGAGCAAACAAGGCCCTGGGGCCCTTTTCACTGATCTTTGGTTCCTCCTGATGGCCCCTGTGTGTTGTGTCCTCACAGTCCCTCCCTTCTGGCCATTCCTCTTACCTGGAGGCCCTGGGCACGATGGGCTGGGGGGCCTTGGTGGACCAAAAAGGCTCTTTTTTAAAAAAATCTGGGCACAGGGGTTGTCTTCTTGCTGGTAGCAGGAGTTAGAGGCATGCCGGGCTCCAGCTCTCAGCCCACCGCCACCATCTCGCGGCCCTCCCAGCCCTCACCAGCTCCTTGGCAGATTGATTCTGCGAGGGCACTTGGTTTGGGAGCCCTGTTTCTGTCCGTGCTAGTGCTCACGGCTTTGATGCGCTTGCCCTGCACACTGCCGCCCATCTCCAGACCCTGGCGTGGGCACCTTGACGCTAGAGCAGGCTGTTGGCTGCGGCTCACAGCACAGCTCCAGGGGCCTATCCCTGCAGAGTGCCGGGACACACCCAGCACACGCCTTGCCGTGTGCCCACTCGACCCCGCTCTGAGAAGCTGGGGGCACTTGTTGGCACCTTGCCCTGGCCCCAGAGTCTGGCTGCCTGTTCTGGCCCCGTGAGCGCTCCTTCAGATGGACGGGGCTCCGGGCTGGGAGCGGTTTCCAGTCCCGGGAGTCTGTCACCTGAGTGACCACCCCACGTAGTTTGCTAAAGACGAACAAGGGACATGTCTGCTGGGCCCCTCTCCTGCTGATGGAGTGGAGAGAGGGTGTGGCTCTGTTCTTTGGAGGGTTCCAGTGACGTGTGTGTAGACAAACGTCTCTGAGGCCAGATGAACCGTGAAGTTAGCTTTTGGGTGTTGGGGTCACCCCCAGCAGTGCTCAGGACTATGTTGGCTCCTTGCACAGGGGTCCGTCCCGGGAGTGCTTCGGGGTAGGGAGGAGGGACATCCCGCCTGTCCGGGCTGAGCTCCGGTATGGCAGCATGCGCTCCACCGGAATGCTCTCCCACCCCGAGCTGGGTGGCGTGGGGGTTGACGTGTGGCCTTGGGGGAGCTGAGGGGTCGTTGAGAAACACCCTTCCTTCTCGATGCTTCATGGGTCTTTTCTTCCCCAGCCCTTTTGTACCAGTTTTGTCTTTAGTAGGTCTAGGGAAGTATTGCTCAGCACCTCACAAGATGTGATGTTAACTTGTACTTAAGACGTTTTGGTGTTTTGCTAAAACTAAAATTTCTAGGGGATTAAAAAACAACTTGGGGCCACATTTGGCATTGCTCAGGGGTTACTCCTGGCTCTCTACTCAGGGGTCACACCTGGCAGAGCTTGTGGGGGGCCATAAAGGACACCTGGGATTCAACCTGGGTCGTCTGCATGTAAGACCAGTGCCCTGCCCATGAACTATTGCTCTGGCCTCCTGAGTGTTACCTTTTGGTCGGGGACAGAACCCAGGACCTCCCCTGTGCACATGTCTGCCCTCTGCCATGGGTCACGCCCACACCCACCAGCCCAGTTTTGATGAATCACACGATGACGTGGGTGGCCTGTGAGTCCAGACGTGGACACGGCCTGGTTAGGGTGGGCTGGGAGTGCGAGCTGGCCTCTCCTTCTGTCGTGGTGCTCTGGCCTCAGGCCTTTGTGCCGGATTCTTGCTGACTGCGGGCTGCTGCTTCCATGGGGGACAGTGGCCTGCAGCTGGTCCTTGTGGCTGCCTGGCTGGGGCAGAAACTCCTCCGGGATCACCAAAGCGCGTGGGGGAGTCCCTCACTCCTTCCGTCCGCGGAGGTGGAAGGACCTTTGAGGCACCCAGTGGGGTCCTCAGCTGTTCTGGTCCACGGCCAGCCTGGGTGCCTTGACCGGCGGGCTTGGAAGGGCCGGGGCCTGGCAGTTCCTGTGGCTCCTAATGCCGTGTTCTTTGGTTGCAGTGGACAGATTGTTGAACCCGGCCAACAGGGCCCACATGGTGCTGGAGGAGCAGCTGAGAGAGTTGCTGGACAAACTGGACCTCACGTGTGCCATGAAGTCCAGCGGGTCTCGGAGCAAACGGGCCAAGTTATTAAAAAAAGAGATTGCTATCCTTCGTAATAAACTGAGTCAGCAGCACAGCCAGCCCCCGCCCGCCGAGTCAGGTACTGGAACCCTCGAAGAGGAAAGCACGCTGCCCGGGCAGGAGACAGGGGACGGAGGTAAGCACACTGACTGCGTGTCCTCTCACTGCGTCCCGCGGCCCCTGCGGTGGCACTGGGACCCCAGCCCCCCTCAGAGGCGGTTCGAGCCTATGCTGCTTCCGGCACGTCCCTTGTTTTGGAGGCACAGTGTGAAGTTTGTTTTTTCAACTTGGTCTTACGAAGTTCTAAAGAGAGATGCGGCTCTTCCTCACACCCCGAGTGACTGAGCGTGGAGGTGGCTTGTCCCTGCCAGTGTGTGCCCTGCTCAGTGACAGGCACATGCCCTCTGCCTTGTGCCCCATCACACCCAGTTTGGTCTCACCCACTCCTGGACGTTTGGGAGGGCATAGGGTCTCCTCTCTTAAGGGAGCCGTCAGAGCGCCTCCTTCCTGGGCACTGCAGGGATGGTGGAAGTGTGTCTCGGGTCTATGTGGGAGAATGGTGCAGTGTCGCTGTGTGGGTGTCAGGTTGACCAGGAGAACCAGTGTCGCGCTCGGAGATGGCCAGTGTGGGCACGGCACTTGGAGGCCCGCCCACTCCCCTCTAGGGCCACACTCAGCCACAGGATGGAGTTAGACCCTGCCTGCTCCAGCTGGCCATGGCCAAGGGAGGAACTTCTGAAGTGGTCCTGCTTGCCCAGATAGTAGCAGAAGTATCAGTCAGTGCAGACATGCGCATGCACACACACGTACATGTATCACACCACTTGTACACACACTTGCACACGCACACACGTGGACATGCACACACCACTCGTACACGCATGCACACACCTGCGTATACACACTCGTGCACGCACACGTGCGTACTCGCACGCACGTGCACTTACATGTACATGCACAGGCGAGAGTGCACATACTTGGATGTACACACTTGCACATGCATGTGCGCACACCTGCATATCCACACCTGCACACACTGCACACACTTGCATGCCTGTCCACTCTGTGCGGTGGCTGCACCTGTGTGCATCTGTGAGCACCTGCAGGCTGTATGGTACAGGTGTTGCCGCCCGTGGCCTTGCACCTGGTCCCCGCCCTTGAAGGACTGACCATGTGTGCCCTCAGCCAGGAGTCGTTTCTGGCTCTTGTCTTGTTGATGCCCATTTCTTTCCTTGTTGGGGTGTCTGGACAAGAGGCCGGCTCTGGAGCATGGGTGGGCCATCCTGGGTGGACACATAGGACTTGGCTCTCGGGCCTGGAAGGCAGACTGGGGTCCCTTGCGGCCCCCAGTGCAGGCCCATTGCACCCCTGGGGAGGCCACTTCCTCTTGGAGTCCAGACTGCCCTGGCCGAGATGACCCACACCCTGTCTGTGTGAAGAGCAAGGGGGGGGACGTCTGTGGACACGCCAGATCTGTCTCCTCAAGCGCGAGTCCAATGGGCCTCGCACCCGGCCGGAGTGATCCGCCGTTCTCTGGAGGGTGTGCTTGGACATGAGCCATGAGTGTGTGGGGAGAGGCAGACAGGCTCCAAGTCTAAAGAGGACACAGGACTCCCCCTCCCAAAAAAAAAAAAGTTAGTTGAGGGTCACTTGACAGAGGGACACCTGTATGCAGGACGGTCCCGAGTAGTGGAGGAGAGCCAGCGCCTGCTTCTGTTTGGAGAAGTGTGTGTGCGTGAAGGCTGAGGGGGTCACCGGGTGCCCTGGGACAGTGAGGGGGAGGTGGTCTGAGGGAGGGGCATGTGGTGCGCAGAGCACTGGGCTCCTGTCTGTCACACACGCTCTGGGCAGCCTGGCTCTGGCAGATTATCTGCCGGGCTGTTTCTCGGGGTCTCGGAGATGGCGCAGGTGTGGGACTCTCTAGTTGGAGAGCGTTGGCCCAATCTGCTGCCTTGTGGGTGCCCTGAATAGCCTGGGTGCTGGGCTGGGTGGCTGTGGTCAGGCCCAGGTGCCCTACAGGTGCGAGCAGGGGCCCTTAGGCCGGGATGGTGCTGGGACATGGGGCTTGTGGCCACACTTTAAACTCCGCTGTTTTGTGGAGCAAGCTCCCGGGGTGGACGTTGGCTCCTAGACTTGCCAGAGGCCAGGACACTCCTTGCACATGGTCACGTTGTCTGGGAGGTGGGGGTCCCAGATGCTGGTTTTTAGGGTTCCAGACTCAGCGGCATCGAGTCACTCATCCGAGTGTCTCTCATGGCACTCGGTGCGATGTGGCGGTGATTGCCGGCCACCACAGCTCCTGTGAGCAACTTCCTGTACCCGTCACACCTCAGCTGTGGGTCTGGAGGGCGCAGGGCCCACCTTGGCCCCTGTGTGCGCACTGCTCGGGGCCCAGGCCTCTCCTGGGGCCTCTGCTCCCGACCACTGTCCTTTGTCTGCTCACCAGGTTTTTTTTTGGTGGGGGTGGGTGGGGCTTGGGTCAGACCCGGCCGTACCTGGGGGTCATATGTGGTGCCCAGGATTGAACCCCAACTGGCCGCACACAAGACAGGAGCCTTCGCCTGCCCCGTCTCTCTGGCACCTGCCCTCAGCACATTCCGTGTGCGGCACGTGGGTGTGGCGTGTGTGGTGGCCGGAGAGGTGTGGCCCTGCCCTGCCCTGCCCTACCCTGGGCAGAGGCTTAGTCAGGTCTTGGTGGCAGGGCTGTGGGGGCAAGTGTGGCCCCCACTCGTGTGTGGCTGGCTCTGAAGGGGGCTGCAGGCTGCCCAGGCGCTGAGCTGAGGCGGCCCTTCCGCTGGGGTCTGGACGGGGAACAGGCAGTGCCCAGCGGGACTCAGGCTGCGGCTTCTGCTGGACTCAGGGAGCCCTGGGGTCAGGAGAGCTTGCTGGGGTTCTGGCGGAGAAGAGCAGGAAGCTCAGCGAGGAGTCTGGAGGGGAGGGGAGGGGAGGCGGCCAGGTCCATGCACCCTGGGGGTCTGGAAGCGAGGGGCGGGCGGCCCCCCTGAAAGCCACTTAGACCCCGGTCGGAGACTGGGGCTGTGGGGAGAGCCGCCTCCTGTCTCTCGGATGCCCCCTGTGGTGCAGACGCCCACGTGGCAGGCCAGCCCGCAGGCACGCAGTCTGAGCCCTCGGCGCTGTCTCCGTGGGAGCCGCCTGGGCAGAAGGCGCAGCTCCCACTGTGCTGAGGCCTGTAGGGTGCTCCCGTGCTCGAGGCCCGAGCAGCCGTCTCCCGCCCGGCCCTGCGTCCTCTGGCCTCACCTGCTGTCCTGCCTCGGCTTCAGAAGCCACTGAAACAATTGCCTCACACCTAGAAGTCTTGAGTCTGAATGTAGCGTTTTGAGAGTTTCAGAGTTGCTGGGAATTCCAGTGATGAGCTTTTCGCATTCCAGCCACCTGCTGTAGCCTGCAGGTTCTGTAAAAACCAGCCGACCGGCCTTCTCAGGACAACGCACCCTGTTTAGGCCCGTCTCCTTCGCTTCCGTGTCTCATGCTCTGAGCCCGAAGCACGGCGCTGCCGGTGTGGGCCCAGTGCAGCCCTGGGCTGGCCTGGAAAGGGCCCCGTCTCCACACTTCTGTTTCACGCCAGTGATTTTTGAAAGCTTTGTAAGGTTTAAAGTCTTCTCTGAAAGGCTCGTGAAGTCAGATGAGCGCACAGGCCCCTAAGACGCCGCACTGGCCGCTGGCGCCCCCAGAGGTGAGCGGGGGCTGCTCTAGCTGAGGCCCCCTGCTGCTCCCGCACCTGCCTGGCCGGGGCTGCCCTGCGGCCCTGCCAGCTCTAGTGGGCAGGCTGGCGTGCGGGAAGCCTTTTTCCTTCCTGGAGGTAAGTGGTGATGGGTTGCAGGCGCGGTTCTGAACTCGTGTGATGGGTTTTGGTTGGCGAGGGAGACCTGCCCTCCCGCCGCCTGCGCCCCGGGCCTGAGCTCCGTGGCCTCCCCGCGCAGCAGACTCGCTCCTCGTGTGACGCTGTGTGTCCTTGATTGGTTTAGTGTATTGGTGGACTTCACATTTGTAGTAAGTTTTATAATAAATAGCCTTTATACTTATCAGTTTTCAAAAATCACTTTATTTATAATTTTTTCAGGAGATAAATCTCCCCCTAAACTTGAACCATCAGATGCATTACCTCTTCCTTCAAACTCGGAGACTAATTCAGAACCACCAACCCTCAAACCAGTAGAACTCCACCCCGAGCAGAGTAAACTATTCAAAAGAGTCACATTTGATAATGCATCACATAGCACTTGCACTCAGAGCGCCCTGGCACTCGGACACCCTCCAGAGCCCACTCTCGCCAGTAGTGGCGATGCGCCGGCGGCGGCCTCCGCGGTGGCGGAGCCAGCAAGCGATGTAAACAGACGCGCCTCTGTTCTCTTCTGCAAACCGAAAAGTGTAAGCCCCCCAAAGTCTGCCAAGAACACTGAAACCCAGCCAACTTCTCCTCAGCTAGGGACCAAAACCTTTTTGTCTGTAGTCCTTCCGAGGTTGGAGACTCTTCTGCAGCCAAGAAAAAGGTCGCGGAGCACCTGCGGAGACTCCGAGGTGGAGGAGGGGTCCCCGGGAAAGCGCCTGGACACAGGTAAATGCCTGGGGGGCTGCTGGGGTGGGGGTCTGTCAGGCCGCTGCGGGGCCGCCGGGCCCGTGTGGGTGGGTGTGCGTACACACGGACGGGGGAGCTTTTCTTGGACGGTCTCTGTGGTGGCCATGGTGCCTGAGGTGACTGGGGTGGCCCTGCTGGGGACAGGGGCGCACCTCCCCCTCTGGGACAGCAGGGGGCACCCAGGCTGGCCTCTGTCTGTGGCGCGTGCCTGGGCCCCGACACGCCGCACCTGCTCGGGGTGGCCAGCAGGAGACGGGGGCAGCGCCTCAGCACTGTGCTCCCCCCGTGGGTCCGTGAGTCTGTTTCACCCACCCACCCACTCGGGAACTTGGCCTCGCCCTTGAGTCGCCGAAACTCCGTGCTGCGGCCTGTGTGCCTGGAAACTTCTTGGACTCGCCCACACGCGTGGGCAGCGCTGGACACGCGGGGCGCTTGCCCTGCTCTAGAGGTGGTTGGCCCTGCCCAGCTCAGGTCCATGTGTGTTCCAGGTCCGTGGGCTCCCGCGTCTGCTTTCGTGGCGTGGGTTCAGCAGGGAGCTGGGGCTGGGCCCGGGTGCCGTGTGTCTGTCTTGTGGGCCTGATGTGTGGTCGTCTGCTGGAGCCCACGCTGGGCCCTCTTCGTTCTTGTGGGCACAGAGGAGTCTGTTTCTTAAGAATGTCGCCTGCGCGGCTGGGAGACAGCGTGGCGGCCTGGAGCCCGCGATCGGATGTGGCAGCCTCTATTTGACCCTGGCCCTGCTGGATCCCTGAGCACTGCAGTGAGCTGGGAGTTGGAGCCCTCGATCCCTGCGTGGGGTCTGGCCCCCTTCCCAGTGTATGTTTCCTTAATTTGAAGGAGTCAGGGCTGTGATTCCATGGTGGAGCACTGGCCTTGCGCGTGTGTGCCATCCTGGCTTCGGAAAAGGGGGAAGAGATCCACCGGCAAGGAAGCCTTGACCTGGATGTTGTTTGTAGACGTTCTCACGCTGGCTGGGATGGAAATTGAGGCGCTTTTCAGTCTGTGCTGTTTCTGTGGGTGCTGGGGATGGTGCGTCCAGCCTTGCACATGTGAGCAAAAGAGTGTTGGGTCTCTGGCTTGACGTTCTGTTTCTGTGTTTCTGACTTGGAGCCACACCTGGCGGTAGCCCGTCAGGTTTGGGGGATGATGCAGTGCTGGCACCTCCTGACATGCACCTCAGCCCTTGGAGCCGTTTCCCTGTTCCCTGAGTGGGTGCTTTTAATCATTTGTTTCAGGGGCTGAAGAGATAGTACAGCGGGCAAGGCGCTTGCCTGGTATGCCCTGGACCCAGATTCTGTCCCTGGTGTCCCCTATGGTCCCCTGAGCACCGCCAGGAATGATATCCCTGAGGGCAGAGGCAGAGACAGTAGTAGCCCCTGAGCATCGCATGGTGGGCCACCCTCCCCCATCTTGTTTCTTTCAAAACCGCCTAGCATCTGAGTGATGTGAAGCCGCCTTTGGGTTGATGGGGTGTAGACACGGAGAAATGTGAAATGTGACTTGTCACGGTACAAATGGGGTTTTCCTCGCGTGTACTATGGCCTGCTTTGCCCCTCCCCCTTTTCTTTGTCATCCCCACGTGCTCAGGGATGACTCCTGGTGGGCTCGGAGGACCATATGGGCGCCTGGATCAAGCCCGGTATTACCGCTCCCATTTAGTGTGAGACTCCAGCCTCGCCGGGCTTGTGGCAGCGCTCAGGTGCGTTGCTGTGGGTGTTCAAGCACTGGGGTTCGGTGACGAACGCCCTTGCAGCCTGGCCGCAGCACAGGGGCCTGGGGGCCTCCTAGGGCCAGTGTGGTGGTCTGCTGTCTGTCTGCTTCCTGCGTGGCAGGGTCTGTGGGTTTCCGTGGTGCCCGAGACGGGGTGCTCGTGGGCCGTGAGCGCCGCAGAGGGCCTCGCCCGCGTGTTTCTGCTTTCCACGCTGCCCGTGTCTGCTCTCCCTGAGTCTCCTGCTTGGAGTGGCGGTGTCTGAACCTTCTGATCCTAAGATCCATCTCTGCGCTCGCTGCCTCGGGGGGTTCTGATGTCCCTCCGCGGGCTGGGGAGTTCTGAGCGGCCGGCCACACGGCCTCCTCGCGGGGCCTGTGGATCAGAGCTTCCCTGCGCCTCCACACTTTCTCCTCGGCTGCTCCTTCAGCGGTGCCACGGCCTCTTCTCGGCACTCAGGACTCACTCCTGGCAGTGCTTGGGACCACACTGGGTGCCAGGGGCCGGGCCCGGGCTGGCTGATGCTAGGCACGAGCCCTCCGCACTGCCCTGCTTCTCCGGCCGTTGTAGCCTCTTCTCTTGCGAGCCCTGAACCCTGCTGCATGATTGCTGTGGACCGGGCGGGGCGGGGCAGGCGGGAGGGGGCGGGCGAGGGGTCTCTCTTGTCCTCGGGCTGTGCAGCTCGCTCCTGCTTTCCAGTCAGACTAAATGGCTTTTTCGCTGTTTTCCAGGTTCTCATTTTAACTACTAACATGCTGGGTAATTCACTCTTTGGATCCTAATAATTTTCTCTTACTCAACCTGGACTGGACTTCTGCTAAGCAGTCGTTTTGGAACGCAGAGCGATCACTGCCTCCTTGCAGTTCACCTAATTCTTGCGGATGCCGCTGGAGCCTCGGTTAAGCCGTCCTCTAACCAAACACAAACTCCAGCGCTCGGAGGAGACTGCCCCTCCCCATCCGCCCCTCTAAAGTCAGCCAGACGCCCCAGGAGGAACGCCGTGCCCTGCCTGCCCGGGACGTGTCCTGGGCCGAGGCCCCTCCCTCGGCATAGGCGTGGCTGTTAGTCCAGCTGCTCCAGGACCGGGACTCTGGCCTGCCCCCTCGGGGACAGCAGGGCCTGAAGTGACTGGGGCCGCAGGCCAGGCGCACTGCTGGACAGTGGTTGTGCGGCCTTCTGGGCGCTGCGCTCTGCCTCCCTCCTCCCTTTCCTTCTCTCTCCGTCTCCTCGGGAGCCGCCGCTGTGGTGGCTGTCCCGCAGAACGTCTTCCCGTCCAGGCCCACACGGGGCCGGGTCTGTCTTGCTGAGCTTGTGTGTCGTATTGAGAGGCTGGGACGCGCACCGAGAATGCAGTTCTGCTGCCAAGAGTCCGGTCCGATCTTGTCGACCGAAGAACAGCTCTGCCCAGTGCTCCGAGAGGCCTAGCGCAGCCTGGGGCCCCCCCCTCGGCATGCGCAGCCCACCTGCCCGCTTGGCCCATCCCTGGGCTCATCTGGAAGGTTCTGTAGGGCCGAGAGACGGCGAGCGGGCGTGCGGGAGCCTCTGGCGCCTCTTGCTGGACACTGGTGTGAGCTGTTTGCCGCGGACGGCCCGGCCTGGGAAGCTCCTCGGCAGCTCCAGCCACTGCCCTAGTCCACCTGGCCGGATACCTGCGGCTCGGCCTGGCTCTCCCCCGAGGGCAGGCAAGCAGCTGCTGCTGTCGCCCTGATGACCTTGGGAAGGTCGCTTAGCGGCTCTCTCGGCAGGAAGTGGGTCTGAGAGGGCATCGTGCCGAGGAAGGAGTGGGCGAAGGGTACCAGGCTGGACCCCAGCGCGGCCCCCGTGCCAGCGGGCAGACCCCAGAGCTCCTGGGCCGCAGCAGCGGGGTGGCACGGGGCTCATGGGGTTCGGCTGGGCTTTGAGCTGCAGGTGTGTGTCTGGTGGTGCCCGTGGCCCCTCAGGCTTGAGTCTCGGGGCAGGGCCCCAGGGCGGCCCCGAGAGGGATGCCTGCTCCTCCTCGCGGCCTTCTGTCTTCCTCTTGTAGTAGTCGAGGGGGCGTCTGGCGCGGGGCGGGCTCTCCCTCTTCCCCATGGGTGCGCCGGGTGCTCCCATGGTAGCGTGACCTTGAGATGGTGTCTGTGGAAGGCCCGTCCGCCCACGCCCCTCCCGCTTCACTCGCCTCTTCGGGTGCCTGGCACACCTGTCCCGGGGCCCAGCCCGTGCTGCAGGTGGCCGTTGGGCCCTTGGGTTTGGCAGAGGCTGTGCAGCATCGCAGCCCCTCGGGCTTTGTGGCCAGCTGTCTGGTCCCTGGACAGGCGGTCTTCCTGCTTCTGGGGGGCACAGGGGGACCCTGCCTGGCCAGCCCCTTCTCACAGGGAGGTTACGGGCAGCACTCAGTCCATCTCTGTCTCTGTCTTGCCTGCCTTAGAGTTGGGGTGTCTCTGCTTCTGGGGGAGCCCGTCGTGTCCCGAGAGCGGGGAGGCTGCCCCTGGGTCACACTGGGTTGGGACTTGCGGGGACTCTGCTGTCCAGAGCTGCCTACCCGGGCGCGTGGCCGGGCTTGTGGAGATGCTGTGCCATCTTGGGTGTGGCCGAGGCAGGAGGTGCAGGCACGTGTGGGCCTTGGTCGGAGCCTTTCTCGAGAAGGGGTTCCAAGCAGGATTCCGAAGGGATCACACCCTTCAGCCGTGGGGGCGCGGTGGCTGCCGCGCCTTCCTGTCCTGACACGGGACAGGCCTCTGACAGGTCTGTCTCGGCCAGCGGAGTTGCGGTTCAGGGTTGGCTCAGAGCTGAGCCTTCTCTGGCACTGCAGCACTGTCCCTGCGTGTTGTCGAGTGCCTTGGGGTTGTGGGGACCCTGTGAGCTTGAGCTCCTGGGGGACAGGGCGCCACCCGTCCGCTTGTACTGAGAACTGGGGGCACCACGGGCTCAGGGTAGCCTGGCTGGCTCCTTCGGGGAGCGGGAGTTTGTGTCCGTAATTGCTTTTCCTGGGGAGGCCACAACTGTCTTGGGGCTGCCCTTCCTCCACGTGGGCTAGTCCGCTGTGGGGGACAGGGGCTCCGGCCAGCAGGGCACGTCAGCAGGAGACCAGGAGACTGTGCGGGCTCTGTGGAGTGATGCTGCAGCCCTCCGCAGGCCCCTCGCTCAGCTCGGGACTCGTGTGCTGTGTTGCAGGTCTGACCAATGGCTTTGGGGGTGCCCGGAGCGAGCAGGAGCAGGAGCAGGAACTGGGCAATGCCCTGGGGAGAAAAGCCCCACCCCGGCGCCGCTGTGCCTCTGAGTCCAGCCTGTCGTCCAGCAGCGGCCCGCTCTGTGACTCGAGGTGAGGCCCCTTCCCTTCCCTCCCTGCTCTTCCTCCAAGGGGGCCCATGGCTGATCAGGAAGCACGGTCCCAAGGGCCCTCGTGCCTTAGCACCCCACATCTCCGCGCCTCAGGATCCCCACGCCTCCGCACCCCCACACCTCAGCGCCTCAGCAACCCACACCTCTGCACTTCAGCACCCCCAGACCTCAGTACCTCAGCACTGCACCATCCGCACACCTTAGCACCCTTCACCTCAGCACCTCATACCTCAATACCTCAGTGTCCCCCACACCCTGGCAGCCCCTTAATCTCAGCACCCACATACCTCAGCACCCCGCGCTTCACCACCCTCGTGCGTCATCACCTCAGCGCCCCACACCTCGGTACCTCAGCACCTTTCCCACCCCTCGGCACCCCATACCTCAGCACCTGGGCACCCCACATCTCAGCACTTAAGTATCCCCACGCCTCAGCACCCTCACATCTCAGCACCCTTCCCATACCTCAGCATCCCCACGCCTCACCACCTCAGCACCCCCATATCTCAGCACCTCCCCACACCTCAGTGTCTCGGTACCTCAGCACCCTCACGTCTCAGCATGTCAGTAGCCCCACGCCTCAGCACCTCTGTATTACCACATCTCAGCACCATAGCACCTCCACTCCTCGGCACCCCAATACCTCAGTCCTCAGGATCCCTGCACCTCAGCACCTCAGGACCTCCATACCTCTGTGCTTCAGTACCCCCATACCTTAGTACCTCTGTACCCCTTCACCTCAGCATCTCAGCAGCCCATCCCACGGCACCTCAGCACCCCATACCTCTGTGCTTCAGCATCCCCATGCCTCAGTACCTCGGCATCGCAGCATCCCCACACCTTGGCACCCCAGTACCCCAGTATCTCAGCACCTCCATTCTTCAGCACTCCCGCACCTCAGCAGACCCCACATCCCCATACCTCAGCACCCATCCCACACCTCAGCAGCTTAGCACCTCAGCATCCCCACACCTTAGCACCTCCACATCTCAGCACCTCAGGGTCCCCATATCTCAGTAACCCCCGCCTCAGCACCCCTGCACCTCAGTCCCCTCGTGTCTCAGGCTCCAGCACCTCCATACCTCAGTACCTCAGTATTCCCACGCCTCCCCACCCCAGCATCCCACACCTCAGCACTCCCTCTCCTCGGCACCTCAGCACCTCAATACTCACAGCACCTTGGCACCGGCCCACACCTCAGCGCCCCTGGCCTACTCCCCTTCCCGCCAGCTTGAGTGTGTCCGGGTGTGCACGCACCCCCAGCACCTCTGAGCCTGTCCTCCCCCCAGTTTCAGCACGCCCAAGTGTGGACGGGGCAAGCCGGCCCTGGTCCGGCGGCACACGCTGGAGGACCGCAGCGAGCTCATCTCGTGCATCGAGAACGGCAACTATGCCAAAGCCGCCCGGATCGCCGCTGGTGAGTCCCGGGCTTGTGGGGGCCGCGTCGGAACGGGGGAGCCGGCTCTTGCCCGGCCTGGCGCCCTGCCCGCCGCTCACCGCTGCCCTCCCTTCCCCAGAGGTCGGTCAGAACAGCATGTGGATCTCGACGGACGCGGCCGCCTCCGTGCTCGAGCCTCTCAAAGTCGTGTGGGCCAAGTGCAGCGGCTACCCCTCCTACCCGGCCCTGGTGAGCCACGGGCCCGGCCGGCGGCGGGAGCGGGCGGGGAGGGACGGGCGGGCGGGCCTGGCGGGGGAGCTGACCGCGCACGTCCACCCCCGGCAGATCATCGACCCCAAGATGCCGCGTGTGCCTGGCCACCACAACGGGGTCACCATCCCCGCCCCACCTCTGGATGTGCTGAAGATCGGGGAGCACATGCAGACGAAGGCGGACGAGAAGCTCTTTCTGGTTCTGTTCTTTGACAACAAGAGAAGCTGGTGAGTGCCGGCGGGTCCCCGCTGCACGCGGCACGCTGGCCAGCCTGGCCCCGAGGCCCCTGGGTGGATGGAGACCCAGTTCTGGGCACCCTTGAAGGCCCTGGAATGGCCCTCCCGGCCACCTCCTCCCTGCTTGCCTGGAGTCATGGAGGACTCGGTGCCCCGCCTGACCCTCCCCTCCCGCCGTGCCTTGGCCGTGTGGGTCTGTGTCCCGCGGCTGGGGCCGTGAGCCCTGCCCTGTGTGGAGGTGGTGGTGGTGGCTGCCGCAGGCTGAGGCCGGGGATGTGTGGCAGCGGCTCAGAGGCGCCCCTGGCCGTGCCCAGCTGCCCCTGCACGGCGCTGTCCTGCAAGGGGCCCGATGGAGGCTGGGGCAGCGGTGGGAGGCGGGATGCGCTGGGGCGGGCCTGTGGCTTCTGTGACCCCCTGGGCCCCCACGGCCCTGGCCACCCTCCGAGGAGGCCTCCGCCCACGTGCCTCAGACCGCCCCTTTGTCTCCGTCCAAAGGCAGTGGCTCCCCAAGTCCAAGATGGTCCCCCTCGGCATCGACGAGACGATAGACAAGCTGAAGATGATGGAGGGGCGGAACTCGAGCATCCGCAAAGCCGTGCGCATCGCCTTCGACCGCGCCATGACCCACCTGAGCCGCGTGCACGGGGAGCCGGCCAGCGACCTCAGCGACATCGACTGAGCCGCGCCCGCCTCGTCCTTGGTGTCGATGCTGTACATGTCTGTATATTGTCCCGACTTAACTTATTCTGACCCTCGCGTACTTCTGTGATTCTTTCTCGGGGACGTTCCTCTTCCCCGTTTTCTATGAACCATCCCCGTCTGGGCGCTGTGGGAGGCACCGCGGGTGGGCGGGCGGTGGGCGTGCGGCCAGCCGGGGCCGGGCACAGGCCACTCCCGAGGGTCCTGCTGACCTGCCCTCCCCTTCTTTGACCTGTAGCTTTTTCTAAAAGACTTTTGAATGTTTAATAATTTTGTAAATCAGAACTCTTTGCACAGAGTACCACTTATTTAATAAGACGGGATGTAAATTTACAATAACAAACGTGTATTTTAAGAAAGAAAAGGACATTATTTTGAATGGTACTTTGTGGAAAGAGGTGGAGAATAAATTTATGCGTGTACATCACTTGCAAATCACCAAAAACACTCCCGCCGACCCCTGGAGGGCCGGGCCGGCCAGGCGGGCGGGTGGGGCTCCCCTGTGGCTCTGCCCGGCCTCCCCCGCCCGCTCCCCTCTCCCCCTCCCACGGGTGTGCCTCCCAGCGGATTATTTATTGTAGAAAGTGTATTCATTTGCTTTATAATGAAAAATAAATTTGCAAAAGTATATTGATATGCATTTTTATACAGGCACATAAAAATTCAACTTGCTTTGGGAACAGGATGTGTTGGTTGTATAAACAACCCTGCTGTGTGTTCTTTGATTTTGTAACTTGTAATCTTTTGTTTACAATGAGGGGCTTTCTGTAACTTGTTTTAATTTAGGACACTTTGGTAGCAATAGAAACTTTGGATACATTTTTGTATGGTACATGTGATGTATATAGACTTAGTACTTTATTTTTATTTTTAAGAAGTAAAGCATTATGTTAGGGGGAAAGGTGAGGGTGGGTTTCCAAAACTGCATTTTTTATATTAAAAAATAAAGTGAAGATTTGGACGGTGTGGTCCTTCTTTCCTCCGTCACCAGCACGCTGGGCAAGGGTGCCCGGTGGCCTGTCCCATGCTCGCCTGCCCTCAGGATCATCAGGGACGCCGTATGTGTCGGTTCACGAGTCAGTTTTGTCTGTGGTGACAGCTGGTCGTGTCTCCTGTGTCTCCTTCCCGTCCTCAATGTTCGTGACATCTCATAGAAACTTGAAAAATAAAAATCATCTCCCTGTGTCTGGCAGCCGCCCTCTCCGCTGTGGCTTCCGAGGAAGGCCCACGGGCTCAGCCAGCCCACTGGAGGCACAGCGCCGTCACAGTCCCGGTTTGGTTTGGCACGCCTGGCGGTGCTGGGGGCATTCCACATGCCGCATCTCCCTGGGGAGTCGGCGGGACGGCTGTGGGTTTTGGACCGCCCAGGCTGGCCAGGTGCCCTCAGAGGGCTCAGAAACGAGCCTGGGGGCTGGGGAAATGGCTCAGTGGGGCGGGCGCCTGTACGTGGTGACCCGAGTTCGATTTCCAGCACCCACGATGGAACCACGGCTCAGGGCTGCCCTCATGAACCTGCTGGCAGGATCCTGGGGGTATGTCAGGTCTGTGGCTGGCCTGGGGCTTGGGGTCTGGTGTGTGCCCAGGGCCCGGCGTCCGGGGCAGGGGTATCCCTGTGGGGGAGCAGAGGCCCAGGCCATGTGTGGGATTCTCTGCCCTGGACCAGCTGGGCGTCCTCCAGAGGGCCTGGAGGCCAGCCCCAGAACAGCACGTCTTGGGGGACCACTTCCCCCTCCCTCCAGGGTGGGGATTGGGGGAGTAGGCGTCAGTGCTGGGTAGTGTGGCCCACCCATCCTGCTCCGTGTCCCGGCCTGGGCTTGTTTCCTGGACCGAGGCTCCATCTCAGTCCCGGGCCCACTGCCCAGTGTGTTCGAGACGGAGTGCGCGCCCACAGTGCCCAGGGGCAGAGGGCTCCGTGGGGCCCGTGTGGTGTCCAGGGAAGGGGCTACGTCTCCACAGTGCTTCTCCTCCAGACCGAACATGGCCAGGTTGACCAGTGAGGGACTCGGGGTCACGTGTGACTGGCGGGTCCCTTCCCCACACTTCTGGACGTGGCAGCCTTGACCTGGCCATAGTCTCCTCCCCCCCCCCCCCCCCCCATCTTCTGCTCCTCCCTCCCCTCGGGCTCCAAAGCCAGGTGAGAGATTTAACCAGCAGCTGAGTGGAAAGGAGAGGCCCCGTCTTTGCTTCCGGCAGGGAAAGGCAAGTCAGCGAATCAGCTGAGGGGCTGGTGGAAAGTGGGGACTGTGGGCGGCAGCCGCCAGAGGCAAGTCTGCCCACGCAGGGCACCTGCTGATGCCTCAGTTCTGAGCGCAGGCGCTGAGACGCCGCTGAACTCCCGCCTGATCTCACTGTCCTCAGCCCTGTGTGAAGAAAGCTGACGGCGTCGGCCATCGCGTTAGGCCAGGCGCCCGGAGCCTGCCTTTGTCCTGACCCGCTTTCAGACCCTCCAGGAACCACGTCCGCTTCCTGCCTGTTCACTCAGCCCAGGCTGATCCCTCCCTGCGCTGTCAGTGACTCCAGAGTGGCCCAATGGGGCTCCCTGAGTACCCAGAGCGGAGCAGGCCAGCACGACCCACGACCATGGCCCTCAGCGGTAACAGCAAAGTGTGGGGGTGCGGGGGGAGGAAGGGGTGGGGCGTGGCAGGTGCCTGGTGTGTGTGTGGTGAGGATCTGTCAGCCCTGCCTGGCACCAGGGGAAATCTTTCTGCTCCAGACAGGAACGGGGGTTGGGGATCCCACGCGGTGCAGGCTCTGGGCTAATCCAGGACCCTCGGGGTCAGCCTGAGACTGACAGCCAGAGGTTCCGTAGAGGACATCAGCGAGGGCAGCGGGCACCCTCGAGGACTCCAGCTCAGCGCTCTGGCCGTGGGGTCTCAGAAACTGTGGTCAGGACCGGCGTGGAGTGTCCAGACTGGCTCTGTCCCTGCAGAGCCCAGGACTTGGTGTGCTGGGCACTGTCTGGGCTGCCCCCAGGGCCCTGGAGCCCACAGATGCCAGCAGGGGACGAGGAAGGGGCCCAGGCTGGACGCAGGGAGCTGCTGCCCATCCTCCTGCCCTCTGCCAGGGAGCGAGCTCGTGGCCGCACAGCACACAGAGGTGCACTGTCCTGGAGCGACTCCTGGGGTCTTGGTGGCGGACAAGCGATGCCCAGGGCTCCTGGTGCCACTAATTCTGCGTGGCCAGGCGGGCTGGACGGGCAGCCTTGGAATCCAGCGGGGCCCGCATTCTGCCCCTTGGGCCCCCAGAACTCTCTACCGCAGGGATCCGGAGGGTTCCGCCTGAAAGCAGGACGCGCATTTTCCTGGGCTCTGAGCCTCTCCCCGGGCCCCATCAGTGAGGAAACACCTTCAGACCCCGGAGCTCTGAGAAGTTGGGTTGAATTCTGCAGGGAGGAGTGGGTTTGGGGGTGGGGTTACTTCCTGTGCATTCTGGGGGCACTGCACTCACGTGACCCGGCGCCAGCTCTCCAGGGGTCTCCCGGGTGGGGAAGATCCCACCTTCTCCAGGGGTCATGCCTCAAGGGGACCGGGAGCCAGTCAGTGCTGGGGACTTCGGCTGGTAAGGAGTCCTGCTGCTTGGCCCAGACCTGCCGGGGACCCACAAACATGTCCCTCGACGCCCGGGGTTCCTGCGTGTCTGCTCCGGGCCTGACTCTGGGCGTTTCTTTCAGGGGAGGGTGGGGCAGTGGGCAGCGCCCCGGGAGTCTCAGGGGCTGCCCATGTCTGGGCCCCTCCCGGGCACCCAGAACCTCGGCCTTTAGGCAAGTCCGTGTATGGCCACCAGAGGGCGGGCGCGCTCTTTGCCGGCCTGCAGCAGTGCCCGTTGGAACCCTGATTGGCGCACAGCTGCGCCCTGGGCTTTGGCAGGCAACAGCGACTCGCAGGTGGGAGAGCAGGGTCGGGGGGCTGGTGGGGGGGGCCTTCAGGGAGCCTCCGGGGGTCCCGGGGGCCAGTGTGCGGAGACCGTGGATTTTGGGGGGTTGGAGGGTGCCCTGGAGGCTGAGCGGGTGTGGGGTCAGTTGGGGCAGGGCAGCCCCTCCCCGAGAACTGCGGAGGGGTCTCTGGGGTCTGATGTGTATCCCCCGCCCCCCACCGCAGCCCCGAGGTCGGGACCACGAATCGAGCTTCTATAGGAGCCCACAATCCCACTTCTCAGTGGGGGCCCCCGGAGGCCCCCAGACTCTTCAGATAAGGCAGGTGGTCCCCTGTGCTCACTGCAGCAAAGGTTCCCAGTGCCGAGATCTGGAAGGAGCCCAGGGTCCGAGAGCGGACGCCTGAGCCAAGGGGCTGCACGGCCGCAAACAGTGGGAGAGAGACACAGGGCAGCTCTGGAGAGGGTCCGGCTGGGTGTAGGCAGGAGGGGGCAGACCCAGACCCTCCTCACGTGCAGGACAGAGAGAGACCCTCCGGGGCCTGGGGTGGGGGCGGTGCACAGACCCTCGTGGCGGGGCTGGGCTGGGAATGTTCCAGGCGTTCAACTGATGCTGATCGTATTCTAAGCCACGGCCCCTCAGTACAAAGGGATCAAAGGAAGCAATTATACCAGACACCACCGGAAGCACCGAGGGATCCCTCCAGTGAGATGATAACAGGCTGGAATTGGAGATAACACTTGAAAATCATGTATCTGATCGGGGTCTGTATCTAGGACATGTAAGGATGTGTTGGTTTGTTTTGGGACCACATCCGGGGATGTTCAGGGGTCACCCCTGGCTCTGCACTTAAGAATTATTCCAGAACAAGCACGCACGGCTCTCGGCCCCACCCCCGCCCCCACCCCCACCCCACCCCAAGAAATCAATAAATCAATCCATAAATTAAAAAAAAAAGAATTATTCCTCGTGGTGCACTGGGAACCATATGGGCTGCCGCGGATCAAGCCCAGGTTGGCCGCGTTCAAGGGAAGTGCCCTGGCCATTGTACTGTCTCTCCGGCCCCCAAATATGTAAAATTTGTAAAGGAACTATTACAACTCAAAAATAGAGACTCTTCAGAGTATCAGCAACGGGCTTCCCTGGCAGACGCTTTTCTCCCTGGCTGCGGGGACTGCCCAGACCCTCACCATTGAGAACCGCAGGGGACAAAGGTCCAGCCATAGCCGAT